ATTTGTAGTTTCTATTCATGTTAGCAATATTGGTAATTTGGTGGCTCAGTTGGTAGCACTTAGACTTCGGGCCCAAGACAGCGATATCGTCGGTTCGGATCCTGACTGATACCTACAACTACTTTAATCAGTGCAGTTAACCCTTGTAAAGTACTTGTTATCCCTTGGTTTGCTAGATACGTTCTAAGCGCCTTAGGCCCATGTGGACGGGCAAATGCGGTAAAAGAAGCCGCTAACCTCTTAATAACTTTAAAAATAATCTTTATTTCTCATCTTTATCTTTATTTCTCTTCTATCACATTTTTTCTCATCATAGGAAGCCTACCTCCTCGCACACCCCACCTTTTTTCATTGAATAGCTTTTATTATAATTATATTCCATTTATATAATATGCATCCTATTTCCAAGTGTTGGGTTATCTCAAATTCCCACAGTGTTTCATGAAACACGCACACACCTACACACAGTGTATTATGACGTCACCTGACATCTTCAGTCCTATCACTAAACTTAGTCACCACAAGGCTCAAGACAACCAATAAATTTGTCAACCATCAACACCCATCAATCGCTTCGTCAACTGTGTCGCGGGTCTGTGTCTCTATCTTCAACATCTGTCCAAGCATGGCAGAATATTAACCAAACGCAACCGGTGAGATCAACACAAAATTTACCCTGAACAGTATTTACTGCGCAGTAAACTTGGCACAATGGCTAGACAGACACACGAACAATATAGAGAGGTTTGGGTTGTATGATGTAGTACAAGTAAAATAAACACATCCCAAATAACATGTATATAAATATTAATAACATGCACTTTGGGGATAAGTTTTTTCTCAATATCCCTAATTTTTAATGATTTCTCTATATCATCTTGCTTTTCAGTTTAAAACAAAGAAATCTATAAAAGAATGGAAACGTTGATATCATAGTGATAGTGACTCATAGAAATGCTTCAGATAACACTATCTTGTCTGTTGTTTATGACGTTTTGCTCAGTTTTCTTCTCGGGATATTTCCATTTGCTGATTTTGGAGTATGCCTATTAAGGTTTTGTTTTCAATGATTCACAGCACATCGGAAAACTATTGCATCTACAAATGGCTAATCGTTCTTTTCTAAAACTTGTTGATTTCAATCTATAGAACCCTAGGTAAATTTGGATCTCCACAGTTCAAACGGGCCAAAGACATAGCGTAATCTATCATTTAAAATTTATAACAAAAAATCACGGAGCTTATTTACGTCCTTGTCCCATTTAGATACAATATTTCGTAAAAATTAAGTTAGGTAGGGTTAAAACTTTACCTAAACAATGAATTAAAATTTTCGGTAATGGGTTTGGAAGTTACTAAAATTTACTCTCTCAGGTAAACCCTGACCTCTCCCTCTCAGACTTGACTTACCTCCGCTATGAGACACAGCAGACATGCTGCCACTGTCTGAGTGTGTATACCTAGGTAGTGTTGCTCAGACACAGTTACAGCGGGTCACCACGACAGTCGACCTCTCTCTCAGACTTGACTTACCTCCACTCTGCTGAGGCACGATTATCTTACTAATCTATATATTAATTTGAAACTGTTTTTCTTTGTCATAGCTATTTTGAGAGAACGGCTGGGTGTAGAAACTCGGTAGAGGTGTCTAAAGAAAGGTCTTGGTCTGTAGATGAGCCACCAAAAGAGAAACTTTAAGGTTCTTAGAATTGTTCGCTCTAGTGAGGACTGCTCTCGACTTCAGCAATGTCTTCAGGGTGTTCAGGATTGGTGTACCGATAACTGCATGAGGCTTAACGTTAACAAGTGTGTGGTGGTTACATTTGGCACAGAAACCCCAACATATACAGTAGACTCCCTCTTATCCGAACACCTTTTAACCGGACATCGTTTTAACTGGGCTACACTCAGCGGAAATGACATCTCTTTAACCGGACAATTTTTATCAGCACATCAGTTTAACCAGTTGGCCGAAAGTGGGCGGTACTAAAACGACTGTTCTCGTAGGAAAGATTTGAGACCAGTGATCACGTGTCTAAATACAATGCTCTCCTAAATTTAAGTCAAATACTGTATACAGTATGCATTTAAACGGTTTGTTTTTAATAGTTTTTGGGGACGTCAGTTTAACCGGAAAACCTGTTATCCAGACTGGCCTCGGTCCCGAGGAGCATACTTGGGAATAACGAATAGAAATTCTATCGAATTCGTTAGTTTTTTGGCTAACTTCTATTTTATTCGTTCATTTTTAAATTAACTAACTAATAACTTCTATCAGTTACTTTTTACGGGACTAACTAATAACTTCTAACTAGTTAGAATTTTCAACTAACTTTCCCAATTATGCGGAAGCATCTCAAATACGGGTTATTTATTTCACGTGATCAGTGAGGGTTGCGTGCGGCCGTGAGAGGTCAGTGCCCTTGTAGACAAACAACGCGGGGGATGGGGAAAGAGAAAGTCAAAGTCCAGTTGCTTTGGAATGCAGTGGGCCTGTGGAAGGGTAGTGACGGCCATTATCAACACCCCAAGCACTGATGGGTGGGAAGGGGAAATGTTTGTTTGTTGATTGATATATGATCTCAAGTGTCAAAACATTGTCTTTAGTTGATGTTCATTATCTGACAAGTTTTATGTCATTTGTTTATGTTGTAGTAATGTAAAATGTGACAATGTTTGATTAAAACACAAGTACCAGGGGACCGATCTTGCTCGAGGTGTTTGATTTGTTCAAGAGGTAAAAAATAGAGCTTATAAGCCTACAAATATTTTCAGTCTTACTACGATTAATTAAGTAGTAAAGTCAATTCGTTTTTGTTAGACATCCACTTATCCTCAATTTAGTCTACAAAACTTTTTAATCTGGACGATCAATCTATAAAATGTCCACAATAAGCTTCAATCAATATAAAACTCATGATACATAACATCTGTTATCTGACGACCGTTATTGCATTAAGTCACTGGGATCGTGGAACGTTGCAACTATAATTACGGGATGGTGTAATAACGCATCAATTCGTGCGGTGCATCGTCGAAAAATACAAATCTCCTTAGCCTTTCCTTTAGATTTTTAGTTCAATGTCAGTGTATATTGTTTTGCAGTAAAACACTTAATGTTTTTGAACAGTTGTAATTATCCCTTTGGTTAGTAAGACATCATACAATGCAAATGTATTATACAAGCAATTTTCAATAGCATTGAAATTGGAGGAAATCGTAGGAGCCATTTTTTAAATCATATCGTGCGCAATCTTTTCTCATATTATAGTATATATTAGTAACCAAGATGTGACATTAAAGAATACTTTAAAACAACTGCCCAACGAACAACTAATTTCTACTAAAACTAACTTTATTTTCTATCAGTTAGTTTTTCATCTAACTAATAACTTCTATCAGTTACTTTTTAAACTAACTAACTTATAACTTCTATCAGTTATTTTTTACAGGACTAACTTATAACTTCTAACTAGTTAGAATTTTTGACTAACTTTCCCAACTATGCGAGGTGTCCGGATTACAGGGAGTCTACTGCACTGGGAACTCAAGTCACTGTTTGTATGTAGCAGTTAAGCCCACAACTATCTATTATATTACAGCAGACTTTGAAAGTTTCTGGCAAGATGAAATAACCAACGAAAGTGTCTGGCTGTTGAGGAAATGTCTCTTTGTAGCTTACCAAGTAACATAAATTCAGCTTTTATACTATGATGTAAATTATCAAAATTACGATTATAATTAAACTGTGATTTCACTGTTTACATTTGGCACAGAAACCTGTTTCAAACTGGAACTGAATCCACTGTTGGTAGGTAACAGTGAAAGCTTATCACGGCAGACTTCAAAGTGTCTGGCAAGATGAATAAACCAACGAAAGTGTCTGGCTTTTGAGAAAACGTGTTTTGATAGCATTTCTTTGCCCAATGACAAAGATATTCTATTTCTATTCATGCAGTTCTGTGTTGTTAAAAGTGGTGGTTAATATACAACTGAGAGCACACAGTCTAGAGCATGGACTGCACATGTTGATGGGCCCCGAGTTAATCTATTCATGCTTGGCTCTTAGTTCTAGATGATTTAAGTTGATTTTTTCTGTGATGTTCTAAATGTACTTTGGTAGAAAATGGATTGAGTGCTGTATCGTAGTTAGCAGTTTACTAATGTAAGATGGGTACTTTTCCAGACTGAGTTGGTAGACCATTACAAGCCATTACTTTATTCTGTGTAAATGATTAGTGTGTAAGTGAAACAGTAAGTAGGTTCTGGGAAGACAGCAGCCACCTGCATAACCTACTGAGGCTACTACTGCACATCTAACATTACACTCTTCACACAACTTGCTGGGGCCATCCATCACAGACAAGTGTGTTCTACTTCAGTAGTCCGTGTAGGTGGACCTTACAACACAACCACACTCGAGTCAACTCCTCAAAATACTGCAGGTCCAGTCCGTACAATAGTGCATTACTCTCAACAGTCTCAACTAGGGTCAAGTTTGTAAAATACTGCTTCTCTCAACAGTCCCAACTCGGGCCAAGTCACATTTCTCTCTTCAACAGTCTCAACTCAACCATCTCTACTCTTGTAAACAATTTTTGTAAAACTCAATACGTCAAACAAAGACGTCTGGAGTGGTTCCATTGTAGTTACAGGCTGTTGATTTAGTTTAGCTACAGCATTGTTTCTGTGTTGTTTTTATTTTAGCATTCCCCATGTGTGTATTTGTTTCAGCACCGTGTCATGATCAGGGTATTGACAAACTGTGGTCTCGTGGCTCTTCTGAAATGACAGGTTATTTCTATATCTTGGCTTGATTGTAATATTTGTTAATTTGGTTGCTAGCCTACATGAATTGTTGTGATTGTTTCAGTTGGTACAATTTAATGGGGGGAAGTGGTTGTAGCGATTCTTGATTTAAAGGTTGTTACTATTATATCTTGGTGTATGATGCGATTGTTTCTTGGTTGTTACATAACTTGTTGCTGTGATTGTTTCAGCACCATGTCAGGATATCAGTCAAGCAGTGCGGTGGGAGAACTATGGTTGCAGTGGTTTTCTTGTTGTATCAACCAGCCTGCACAACAGGTAAGTTGTGATCTCACAAAATAAAAGCAGCTTATGGTTTTTTGGAATATTAAATACTGTAGTATATTTCACTACTAGTCCCGAATGTAACCCATTTTGTGGCACGATGGTCGTTTACAAGTGAAGCAAAGCCAAATGCAGAAAAAAGCAATCTAGTTATAGAATGGAACTTTTGTGACCAGTGCAGTGAATGATACTTTTCATCACGATGCAAATAATCACATGAACTTCTAGGTTTTAAATTATAAAATATTTTTCCATAGTCTGATTATTCTTTTAGCGAATTTCCCACATAGAGATTAAGCTATTACCTTAGGTATCATAGTAAGACCTGGACCCGGGACCGATTTACTTTTTCGTTTTGAGGTCCCTAGAGGCTAAAAACACCCTCCGTTCAAATTCATACGTATACTTATATACGTATATTATATGTTTAGGTAAATGTGTCCATTAGTTAACTTGTTTAAACAAAATACCCCCACCTCTGCAGGTTTGCTAAGCAAATTCCCATTTGCCTGATTGGATTTAAATTAAAATGTCTCCTTAAAAATATCACATTTTATTTATTCCCTATTTTTTTTTTTTTTTTTTTTATAAGGGAGAGGAGGTAAAAATGCTTTTACGCACACAGGTAGCCAGCCTGTAGTGTGAGACTCCTGAGCTTGTCAGACTACTCACTAAAAAACCCCCTCTACTCTGTTGGACACAGACCTGGGATTGTTTGTCACATTACTTCAGGTCAGGTCAACGTGTGACCTAAGCCCTCAGGGCTCGCGCCGTTTCTGGCATTCAATTTCTTTATGACCTAGGCTGCATCTCGGTCAAGCTCTAGCTTCTTTGTGCGGAGAATATCCTGGACGAAATGTGACATACAGGTCCAATTGTCCTCACCCTCCGTCATCATCGGAATGACCGTGTCCACCAACAACTGCCCTACATGTTGTTCAGCCTCCAGGCGGGAACCTTCCCAACGCTGGCAGCGGAAGAAGGTGTGCTCCGCGTCGTCGGGAGTGCCTGGGCAGTAGATGCAATCGGGTGACACGGCTTTGCCCATCCTGAACAGGTACGACCGAAAAAACCCGTGACCTGTCAGAAACTGGGTAAGGTAATAGTCCACCTCACCATACCGTCGGTCAACCCATGGTTGGACTTGCTGAATCAGTCTCCTGGTCCAGCGTCCCCGCGACTCCTGTTCCCAGCTCTCCTGCCAGAGCTGGTAGGTGCGGTTGCGCTCCTCCATTTTTGCATGGTCCTCTCCACGCCGCTGATAAATCGCTTTCCTCTCCGCCGCCAAAAGTTTGACGGGGATTACTCCAGCAACCACCAAGATGCCAGGTTCAGACACTGTTCGGTAGGCGGATGCTACCCTGAGTGCTGCCTGACGCTGCACTCTGGCAAGCCGCATCCTATACACCTCCTTATTGAGCGCGTCTGCCCACATCTCCGCACCATACAGGAGCACAGACTGAACTGTAGACATCAACAGCCTTCTGCGACTGGAACGAGGACCTTCGACATTGGCCATTAACCGGCTAAGAGAAGAGATCACCTTAGCGGCCTTGTCCGCCGTTCGGAATATCTGGTCCCGCCAGCTAAGCTTAGAGTCCACCATGACACCAAGATACTTGGCGGCACGAACGGACTGGACTTCGACGTCCCCCACCCTCAACGGCACAATGGTGTCAAACCGCTTTTTGGTCAGAATCACGATCTCAGTTTTGTTCAGCGCGAGTGAGAGACCGTGATCCATGCGTTTATAGTTCGCATGACTCGGTTTAATTTTAGCTGGGCCAGCTCAACACTACGAGCAGCTATTAAAGCTGCAATGTCATCTGCGTACCCAACTAAAACGGTTTCTTCAGGCATTTCAGACCTAAGGAGGCTGTCGTAGGCAACGTTCCAGAGGTCCGGGCCGAGTATGGAACCTTGGGCAGCACCAGAAGTGACACTCATCATCCGCGGGCCTTCTGTAGTATCATACATGAGGAGGCGGAACCGGAGGTAATCCTCTATAATGCGCATGAGGTATGCCGGGACGTGGAAGTTGTTCTCCAGAGCGTCCAGCATATCGCACCATCTTGCAGAATTAAATGCGTTTCGCACATCGAGTGTAACGAGCAGCACAACCCTACGAGAGTAGTGATTAAAATCCTCAGCTCTCATCACGGCTTGCTTCACCTCCTCAATAGCGTCGACTGTTGATCGCCCCTTCCTGAAGCCGTATTGGCGAGGGCTCAGGTCCCCCGCAGCAACCACGGCTGAATTCAGTCGGGAACGGATCAACTTCTCTAGGACTTTCCCAGCCGTATCCAACATGCAAAGGGGTCTGTAAGAGGACGGCAATTCTGGGTCTCCTTTCCCCTTCCCTACGAGCACGAGCCTAGCTTTTTTCCAGCACAATGGAAATACCCCCTCTGCTAGGCAGGCGTTGTACATGCTCAGAAGAATCAGGGGATTGATTGAAAAAACCTTCTTAAGAGCCTCGCCAGGTACCCCATCAGGTCCAGGAGCCTTGTTGTTTTTTAGGGATAAAACGGCAGTCTCCAGCTCCTCATGAGTGAAGAGTGGGACATCGTCCATCATCTCAAACTCACGCAGTGGGCGCAGAATATGATCCGGAAAAAGGGATTTGACGACCCTCTCCATAGCGGCCCCCTCCATGACGGAAGGTGGAGAGCGAGTGGTGAGTTTTTGGGTTACTAGTTTGTAGCCCAGGCCCCATGGGTCAGAATCGACATCATCCCTTAGTGTTTTCCAGCAATTGTGTTTGCTCCGGTTGATGGCCCGGCGGAGAGACTTCCTCGCCACCTTGTAGCTCTCCAGCTTACGGCGTCTATCCAAGGGTGCCCTGGCCCTGGTAGCGAGTCATCTAGCTCTCAAAGCAGCTCGGCGCAAATCCGCGATCTCTGCAGTCCACCAGTATACGGGTGTCCTATCGCAACGGAGTCTCTTGCGGGGCATTGACTCATCACAAGCCGAGGCAATCAGCCCCATCATTGATGTAACTATAGCCTCTGCATGAGCCATGCCAGGTGCGGCAGGCACCGCTGGCACTCCCCGCAGGATGGCCTCGGTGAATTTAGCCACGTCCAGTTTTTTGGTGTTCCACCGAACGGGCACTTCCCGAGATGCAGCAACTTGTCTCGGGATGCGATCTAAGACATTGAAAATAATGTATTTGGCCGTATAATCCTCCAAGACTCTCCAGTCTGTGATCCTTGGCAGAAGAGACTCAGATGCGAGGGTTATGTCTGGGATCGTTCCCCTCATCCCGGGTCGCCGGAACGTTGGCGTGTTGCCCTCGTTGATTACAACGAGTCCGGCCCTGGCAGCAAAGTCCAGGATGTACTTCCCCCGGGAATTAGTGAGGGTCAGTCCCCACTCGACGGCCCTAGCATTGAAATCACCAGCCACGACCACTTATTTATTCCCTATTTAAATTGAATTAGTTTAACGAGTACTTAGGTTTGCTGCAATAGGGAGGGTAAACGGTTTTCTATGTTAATAGTTTAGTAATAAATAAATGCATTTTCCAAATTTGATCAAAGTATGTTTGAACAACCAAACTTCAACAGTTTACTTATTCTCCATAAGAATAACATAGGAATTTTAAATTTACAATTTTTTGGAATTTTCTTCGTAGCCCTTAGGCACAAAATTACGCTTTCATATACTAAATTATTTATTTTTTTAAGCTCTACTGAATGTTTTGAAAAAAATTGCCAAATTTTATGTTTTTTGGGTCAAAAATGGGAAAACCCAATTTTTTACCCCCATAAACCACATTCCCATAGTCTGATCATGCTGGTTTGCGAACTCGTTTGAATAAATGTAGGTTTACACATTTATACGAAATTTTGTCAAAATCAGATCATTTTTGCTTAAGTTATATATATATATGAATTTGAACGGATGGTGTTTTTGGCCTCCGGGGACCTCAAAACGAGAAAGTAAATCGGTGCCGGGTCCAGGTATTACCATGAGTACTACGGTAATAGCTTGTTCCCTATTTATGAAATTCGCTAAAAGCAAATCTCTTTATTTGGGACAGGCAAGGTATTGTTTGGGACCAGAAAAGTAAAAGACTTTGCAGTCTTAAACATGAATAAAAAAAATGTAGGTATCATTCAAAACATATGATTTTTCCAAATCATAGGCGATTTTTACACTTTAGCTGATTTTAAATACAGAGTCGTTACTGTATACAGAGTGAGTTTTGCATGATGATATGTTGTTTGTAATGATGTGTGCTCTTTGGAAATTGTCAATACATAAGTACATAATTTCTTTGCCAAGCTAAAGTTATGTGACAACATTTTACGATCACAAGCAGAAATAAACCAAATTAATGAGCCAATAGCAATAGATGCAGGGGTGAATCTAGAATCAGAATGACAAGCTGATAGTGTTCAGAGAAACCGGACAATGAAGAGAGTGGGAAGTGGGACAGGAACTGTGTTAATGGTGAGAGACACTAGACAAAGCTTGGGGCTCAATTCTCAATTACTTTAATACCTTGTGATCAAACGAATCTCGAGGATCCTCAGCCTTGCCTGAGTGAGGGAAAGTTACTACTGGAGAACATTGCGTTAGGCCAGTCATCTCACATGTAATGTGTTTTATTTCTATTTCAAAGGAATATTAATTTATCATTAGTGTATTCATTTATTTACGCTAAAAATAACTGGTTGATTATTTGGTCATGGAAAACATTCGGTTATCCCATCACTAATTTTGATCTAGTTTAGAGTTTCTAATAATAGTTACACGGAAAAGTCATTGTTTTACTGGAGTTTCCATAAAACAATGGCGGGGTTCAGCTATAAAAAAATTAAAAAATTGTTTTTACCTCTTGACTTGACAAAGAATCTATATATTTAATACACAGTTGTAACACTGTTTTCTCAGTAATTACTGGACCGATCTACAAGATTTATGTCTCAAATTAAAGGGGATAGTGTGTAGATTTGCCGAACTTCCTTAGAATTTACGTTTGTTCT